TAGAGTAACTTGCCACAATGTTATATATTTAAGTGCGGAGTCAGATACCTATCTAAATCGATCTGGGCTTCAAAGGAAATACGCTTTTCACCATAACATGCTAACAGTGGCAGAAATAGTCCAGATGATGAGCTGACTGTATAATATATACTTGGGATGAATCACATGCAGCTTTTAGCATGTTTTTGTGTTTTATTGTTTGTTCATTTTTAACAATATTATTCAACCTATGAGTTTTTGCCAGGAGCAGGCATACTAATTATTGGCCAGAATCAACAGTTGTAACTGGTCTTCTAGATCTAGTCCAACCCTAGAATAGTTTTGAAAAAAAAAATTTTTTTTCACAACTTTTAACTGTAAATTGCACTTCCTTGTAATATAAAATACAGTCTGACTTTTATGATAGTGCATACAGGTTTTCCCATCAGCCATTCAGAGATCTATAAACATTGAAATGGAAAATTCAACATAAAATCTTTGCTAAACAAAAGAAAGAACTGTCATATTATTGGCAGTGTGTGTCATTTATTGAAATATAAACAGCACCTAACAATATTAGAATGGCCATAAATGTTTTGTTTATTGAATGAATGGAGTGAATGCAATAACCATGTAACTGGTATCCTTCTGTGCCTCAAGTGTCTCTTCCATACATCAAGTGGCACATAATGATCTTTTGAAAACACAATCTGATTAGGTTACCCCTGATTAAAATTCTTCTGTGATTCTGATAAGTTCAGATAAGCTCACACTCCATTCATTTGTATGGATCTGAGCCCTGGCCTTACGCTCTTCCAGCTCATTCTCTACTCCCCACATTTACCATTCTGTTCATGCCAGAACTACACACCAGTTATGTCATTTCTCACCTTTGTACCTCTGACACATTGAGTGCTTCTCTTACATACCATAGGACCTAGTACAGGCTTGTCATAGCACTAAAATTATATCATAATTGTGTCTCTAGATCAGTGGTTCTCAAACTTTCGGTGCTTCAGAATCATCAGGAAAGCTTGTTAAAAACAAGACTGTTGACCTCATCCCTTAAATTTTTTTTTCATAATACAAACAAAGTATAAATTTCTGATTCAGTAGGTCTGGGGTGGAGTACTGGAGTTTGGGTTTCTAACACAGTTCCAGGTGATGCAACTACTCTGACAGAGACCACACTTAATAAATAATAATAAATAAATAGGTGAGGGAAAAGGAAGAGATTAGATAACCCAGGTGGTAGGAAATAAAACACATCCCTCTTCTTTGCCTTTGTGTTTGTTATTAAGAACCTGGTGTAAAAAGGTCTCACAAAAGCACATCCTATAGATTTCCCTCCCTCACTCCTTGCCTGCAAAATTTTTTTTTTTGCAAATTTTTTTTTTTTTTTTTTGAGACACACACTTGTTGCCCAGGCTAGAGTGAGTGCCATGGCGGCAGCCTAGCTCACAGCAACCTCAGACTCCTGGCTCAAGCGACCCTACTGCTTCAGCCTCCCGAGTAGCGGGACTACAGGCATGTGCCACATGCCGGCTAATTTTTTCTGTATGAATTAGTGGCCAATTAATTTCTTCTATTTATTAGTAGAACGGATCCAAAACACAGGTTTTGACTCCATACCGAGCAATCCACCCGCCTCGGCCTTCCAGAGTGCTAGGATTACAGCCGTGAGCCACCGTGCCCGGCCCTTGCCTGCAAATTTTTTTCGAAGTTTCTACTATTGGCCTGACTTAAAGGTTATTATGATCTAGCCACTAAATTTTTGTTTATCCTAAGTGAACTTTTATGATTTACTTTGAAAACCATGGAATATTAGAATAGGAAGGGATCTTAGAGATTATAGTTACAGTTACAATGTATCCAAACCTGTTGGTTTGGGTAAACCAGTTCACCTAAATCTGGTTACAGTTTACCCAAACCTGAGGTGGAGGCAACCTATCAGATGCATTTGTACAGATCACACCCATAGGGTCCCACTCTGCTCTGACTTGCTTTCACTCCTGGGCCTGATAAACACTCCTAGAAAACCTTGTCCATTTCCTTTATTCTAATGCTGAGTGCATAATAGTTCTTAGTTTCATAATAGTTCTTAGTTTCATTACATTTTGGATCAGGAGGGCACCTTTAGTTTTATAATCACTAGGAAGATAAGGTTCATCCTTTTATTCAATTATTGAGTGTATGTAAGGAGCAGAGTATATCAAAACAGTATGAGCCCTCAAGAGGCTTAAAACCCATATAATTACACAATTTATTTTTTTCTTTACACCATTTCAGGTACCAGAAAGAATTAAACATCTTTTAAAAGTGTTTAGGCTGGGCGCAGTAGCTCACACTTGTAATTCTGTCACTCTGGGAGGCCAAGGTGGGAGGATCGTTTGAGCTCAGGAGTTGAGACCAGCCTGAGCAAGAGTGAGACCCTGTCTCTACTAAAAATAGAAAGAAATTAGCTGGAAAACTAAAAAATATATAGAAAAAATTAGCCAGACATGGTGGCGCATGCATGTAGTCCCAGCTACTCGGGAAGGTGAGGCAGAAGGATTGCTTGAGCCCAGGAGTTTGAGGTTGCTGTGAGTTAGGCTGACACCACAGCACTCTAGCCCAGGCAACAGAGAGAGACCCTGTCTCCAAAAACATAAATAAATAAAAGTAGTCCCAGAGGTGTGCATAGCATGCGTTAGCAGTACAGCAAAGGGATAACCCTATCTTGGAGATGGTGTCAAGCAAGATATGCCAGGACAGTCTTACTGGAAATTAGTCAGCTGGAGTGCAGGCAGAAGATTGGGCAGTATTCAAGGAGTCTGCCACAACTGGAGCTGATGGTGTATTTTGCAAGGTGGAATTTGGCCATTAAACTATTTTTAGATAGAGTGACATGAAGAGAATTATGCTCATAAAAGACTCCAAGACTAAAAAAGGGATTTATATCTAAGGGTACGCATTTTCCTCATTAGGCTTTTATCTGATTAGAAACTTAAAATGTTAAGTTCCAGTCCAAACTAGTATAAACCCCTGAAGGGAACTTTTATACATGCTCAACAGATTGAAGTTGAATATAAAAGGAACAGCATAGGGGAATCTGCTGCCTTCTTTCAAGATTCTTTTTTTTTAAGCACCAAAGGTGGCAAGAAAACTTCATCTTTCTCTGCTGCACCCCTTTTAATAAAAGGATTTGTTCTGCAAATTTATATTCAGTCAAAAGGCCACACACTTAAGGTCCTAGAAAGCCACATTTCGCATAAGGCTGAAGGTTCCCCACCCCTGCTAGACTTTATTGACCCACATGAGAATTAAAATTGAATATTCCAACTACTAGATCTATATTGAAGGGGATCCAGAATACACCTCTGAGGCATAAAAATTATTCTGAGCAGAAGGCATTTGGTTCTTGAAATCTTTTATCTGTCTAAAAGCCCAGCCTCTCAAAAGAAATCAATTTGTCATAAATCTCACTAGGACCAACCAGGGAAAGTTGACTTTTATCCTGAGAATTAACATCTTCCATCTATTCTCCTAAAGGCCCATTCACCTTTCCTAAAAGTCATTTGTTTTCCTGTAAGTACCATTTCTCCCCACCACTTTACCTATTAAAATGGTACATAAGCCACAAATTCTACCCACCCTTTTGAGTCACATTTTTGTGTACTTGTATAGGTATATGATTAAGTCAGTCTTTTCTCTTGTGTGTCTCTTGTCAGTTTAATTTGCAGGCCCTCAAGCATTCAAACTAAAGAGGATAGGGGAAAAGCTTTTTGTCCTCAACAATATCAAAACAATAAGAGAAAATTCTTTGCTAGAGATATAAGAATTTAAGTGGTTTAGATCAGTGGTTTTTAACCCCAGTAGCTTTTTTTAAAATGCTGATGTCCCAGGCCAGGCATGGTGGCTCACGCCTGTAGTAATCCTAGCACTCTGGGAGGCCGAGGAGGGCAGATTGCTTGAGGTCGGGAGTTCGAAACCAGCCTGAGCGAGACTCCGTCTCTACTAAAAATAGAAATTAATTGACCAACTAAAAATACATATACAAAAAATTAGCTGGGCATGGTGGTGCATGCCTGTAGTCCCAGCTACTCAGGAGGCTGAGGCAGGAGGATCACCTGAGCTCAGGAGTTTGAGGTTGCTGTGAGCTAGGCTGACGCCACAGCACTCACTCTAGCCAGGGCAACAAAGTGAGATGCTGTCTCGAAAAAAAAAAAAAATGCTGATGTCCCAGCCCCTCAGTTTCTGATTTTATTGGTCTGAGTAGGACCTGGGTAGGCATGGTTATTTTTTAAAGTTCCTAAGGTGATTCTAACATGCAGCCAGAGGTGGTAACCATTGGATTAGACATTGTACTTTTCATTTTATTTTTTGAGACACAGTCTCCCTCTGTTGCCAGGGCTAGAGTTCCGTGGCATCAGCCTAGCTCATGGCAACCTAAAACTCCTGGGCTTAAGCAATCCTTCTGCCTCAGCCTCCAGAGTAGCGGGGACTACAGGCATGCACCACCATGCCCAGCTAATTTTTTGTATATATTTTTAGTTGTCTGGCTAATTTCTATTTTTAGTAGAGACGGGGTCTTGCTCTTGCTCGGGCTGGTCTTGAACTCCTGACCTTGAGCGATCCTTCCGCCTCAGACTCCCAGAGTTCTAGGATTACAGGACTGAGCCACAGCGCCTAGCCTGTACTTTTATTAAAGACACAAATTTCTTTTTCAGTTTATTATTTCTAAATCAGTGGCTGACTTTTGACTAAAATCACCAAATATTGATTCAAATTTTTATTTTTCAAATTGGCTACGTAACAGAAAGTCTTGAGCAAAGTGAATAAGCATCCTGTGTATAAGTGTTTTAGGGCAGCTGATTAAAACCACTATATAGCTATTTAAAATTGAAACCAGTATATTTATAAAAACTTGTCAAAATTACAACTTCCACAACTATTGAGCAATCCTATCCTCAACTATAAGTCTAACAATGAGAAGAGATTTGAGAACACAGCTATCTTAATCATTCAAATAGGAAGCTCAGTTTCTGTTTCAAATTCTTTATTATACATCATGTTGCACAATTTGAGGCTGGTTAAATACAATTGGTTTTCAAAATCTCTTTGAATATTTTCTAGATTACTACATGCAAGTGACCATGAAAATATTTGGCATTTTAAAATTCTGTAACTCTGAATAGGCACTTAAATGAAGGAAAACATTACCATTCATAGATATCCACATTTAAAATAGATGTTCCAGCACATGGTACATGGAAGGTTTTGCCAGTAAAGAAGTTGGTTACTGACCATTTTATCAAAGTGCCATAGTAGTAAAACAGGATTAAAGAAATGTAATTTGGATTATTTAGCTTACTCATAAAGTAAGGTTAACTGACAAAACTTGCGCTGAAGTGTATAAAAAATATTGGTACAAAAACCAATGAACTATAAGTTAAAGTAGTTTCCATACAGCAGGCTTCATTTTGGTTCCCACACTACATTTAGTGTATTTGAGATCAGACTCCATGCATATGAACAGATGACTGTAACCTTTTCTAGAGACTTCTAAATAAATGACTTGAATTTAGTGTTTTAAAATTAAAAGCCTGGGTGAAGTTTAAATGTGAGTTTGAACTAGCCAAAGTTCCAGTTAGATAAACATGAAGTTGTCCAGATCTAGATAACTACATGCTTCACAGGTCCTCCTGAATCCCCCCCTTCCCCAAATTTTCACCTGAAAAGTAAAGAGAATAAATTTGTGAAGAAAATGATACTTGCATTCCTATGGCAAAAAAGATTCCTTAAGTTGAAATATATGTATGTTTCAAAGTATTTATAGAAAAATTAAATAGTTTTTACAAATTCTAAAATGTCAACATAAGTCAACTCCACATTGCAGAAAACATACAGCGGTACTACTGGAAAGTAGTAGCAAAACAGTGACTTAAAATGGCAAAAAAATAAAATAAAATAAAAAGGTAGCCACAATGACATGCTATGTAATCCCTTAGTGAAAAATTTAATATTCATACCAGAGGAGACTTCAAAGAGGATAAAATTCAGGAAGCCATGGAATGGTACTCAGAAGCACCCACAGTGAGACACTCCATATACATTTCTCAAACACAAATGTAAAAACAAATGTAATTCTCAAAAATATTGAGATGCCATGTTTTCAATCTTTGCAGGTTGTAAGGACCACTCAGGTTTTCTAATTTTATTTGAACGCAAAATATTTAATTTTTTGCATGTAGAGAATAAGAGGTAATCATTAGCATAAAAAGGGAGAAGAAAAGGATTTCTAATTAACATTATGCAGAAAAAAGCAAAATTACAAATACCAGCCTCCTCACGTGAAAATCTTTAATGTTTATGCTGATGCATATCTGAGTGCTTATCATCAAATCAAAGTGTGCAGTAAAAAAAAAGGCAGCTTAAGAAAGTTCCAGTGTTTCAAAGAAAGCACTTTTTTAAATGTATATACATGAAGAACATTTCATTATATCATAAAATAAATGCAGCACTATATAATATAAAGGAAGACTAATATATATGGAGTTTTGGCCTTTTCCCTCCTATGTGCTGCAACCATCTTTAACCTGCTGAATTTAATCTCAATGGTTATAGGAGCTTTTTGTTTTTCTTTTTTTCTCCTATTCAGTTCACATTTCAGGCTGTTCAGCAGATGCCTGTGATTCTGGAGATTCAAATCGCTGGTGAAAGTTTGTTCTCTGTTTCCTCAGTTTTTCAGGAGCTTTTCTCCATAAAATGATCTCCTAATAAAACAAATGCAAGATATTAACAAATTAATATTCTCTATGAAGATTAAATTTTTTCTATTGAAATACTGACTGCCACTTCGATTCTAACCATAGCAAAATTAAATTCTTCCCTACAAAAGCCTTCATCTTTTCTGACTCCTGACTGCCCCTTCTGTCTTCTGTGCTCCCAACACCAGCACCCGTGCAGTATCACCACCATCAATCCAATCTGGCAAGAAGTCCTAGCTATTACTGCTCTAAAGAATTCCCAAAAATCTGTTCTTTGATTTCTGTTCCATTGCCCTCATCCAAGTTCAAGCCCTTGTCTCTTATATCCTAAAACAGCTTTCTGGTAGAGGGTTCTGCCTCTCTTGCCTGAGAGACCTCTTTTCAAATCAATCCTTCATTACCATTATCAGACTAATCTTCTAAAATACTGCTTGGATTGCTCTTCAATAGCTCTTAGTTCCTCCAGGATGAATCTCATGGCCCTCCATAACCTTTATTCAATTTACCAACACTATCCCCTTTCCCCCACCAGCCACACTGAGTTACTCTCTGCCTCCAGTGCACTCCAAATAAACATGCCCTACATCTTCCCCTAGTCTCCAAATCCCTATTCCTCTGCCGATCTAAATCTTACCCTAACCAGTTCATCCTGAGATTTTCTCTCTTCTAAACTTCTAAAATTATTTGTTTCATAAAGTAAGGCTTGGCTGGGGTTTTACTGTTTTTTTTTTTTTTGTTTTTTTTTTTTGAGACAGAGTCTCGCTTGTTGACCAGGCTAGAGTGAGTGCCATGGCGTCAGCCTAGCTCACAGCAACCTCAACCTCCTGGGCTCAAGCAATCCTTCTGCCTCAGCCTCCCAAGTAGCTGGGACTACAGGCATGCGCCACCATGCCCGGCTAATTTTCTATATATATTAGTTGGCCAATTAATTTCTTTCTATTTATAGTAGAGACGGGGTCTTGCTCTTGCTCAGGCTGGTTGCGAACTCCTGACCTCGAGCAATCGCCGCCCTCAGCCTCCCAGAGTGCTAGGATTACAGGTGTGAGCCACCGCGCCCGGCTTTGGCTGGGGTTTTTTTAGCCAACATATCAATACTTAAACCTAACGGAGTGCCCATGTGAAACAATACACTTACTCCAATAGTGCTACATGATATGCAACTGATTTTGAAATTGTATAATAAATATCATATAATTTATTTTGCAGTTATAAATTACCTATGTTTAATTATACAGAATATGGCAGCAGTACAAGAGTAAGTTTTCTCTCTTCTAAATTACTGTCAACCTATCAAATTTTCTGTTAGTTGTACATTTTTCTTTTTTCCACATATCTGCAATGTGAGGACCTGGAGGACAAATCATGTTTATTAAAAGCAGTTTTCTTTTTTTTTTTTTTTTTGTTAACCCAATTTGAGAATCTCATTTTTTTTTTTTGTTAAGCAGTTTTTCTATTCTTCATAGTACTTAGCACAGAATAATTTTCTAACTCAGCTTTGAACACTCAACTGACATCCAAATACATATGTATTAATCTGATTCAGAATATAAAAGGCCATTCTAATCACAGTCTTCAAAATTCAACAAAAATTAACTGATTTTCAAATGAGAATGAATTTTATGATAAAAATTATTAGAATTGGCTCTTCTCATGGACATTCATAACAGAATTGTTTAATAAAGGAAAAACGAGGCTGGGCACGGTGGCTCACGCCTGTAATCCCAGCACTCTGGAAGGCCGAGGCGGGCGGATTGCTCAGGTCAGGAGTTTGAAACCAGCCTGACTGAGCAAGAGCGAGATCCGTCTCTTACTATAAATAGAAAGAAATTAATTGACCAACTAATATATATATAGAAAAACTTAGCCAGGCATGGTGGTGCATGCCTGTAGTCCCAGCTACTCAGGAGGCTGAGGCAGGAGGATTGCTTGAGCCCAGGAGTTTGAGGTTGCTGTGAGCTAGGCTGACGCCATGGCACTCACTCTAGCAACAAAGTAAGACTCTGTCTCAAAAAAAAAAGGAAAAATGAGCTGGGCACAGTGGTACATGATTGTAGCCCCAGCTACTGGGGAGCCTAAGGCAGGAAGATCTCTTGAGCCCAACAGTTTGAGGCCAGCCTATCTCTAAACAAGAAAATAAGGGAAAAATTAAAAGCAAAAAAAAAAAAAAATCTATCAAGTAAATAAGGACATTATGAGTTAATAATGGGCTGGGTGCTGTGGCTCACACCTGGAATCCTAGCACTTTGGGAGGCCCAGGCAGGAGGATTACTTGAGGCTAGGAGTTTGAGACCAGCCTGAGCAAGAGCAAGATCCCATCTCTAGCAAAAGTGGCATGGTGACATGTGCCTGTAGTCCCAGCTACTTGGGAGGCTGAGGCAGGAGGATTGCTTAAGCCTAGGAGTTTGAGGTTCCAGTGAGTTATGATGCTACCACTGTACTCTAGGCAGGGAGACAGAGTGAGACCCTGTCTCAAAAAAAAAAAAAAGTGATAATACAGATCTGTATTTGCTGAAAAGAGAAAGCTATTCAAGACAGTAAGAGTAAAAATGCAAATTAAAGAATACGCATTATATAATCTAAACATACATATACAAATTTGTCTGGAAAATTAACCACAATGGTGACAGAATTCCTATTGACCTTTACTTGATTTTCTGTTCTTTATTGCCTGATTTTTTTTAAACAAACAGATGCCTTTAATTTAAAACAACAAGAAAAACCCAAAACTTTTAAGAGAAAAATAAAAGCCCTGACAAATTGTAGCTCATTCTGAGTCCTGCAGAATGATCGCAACACAATTCTATTCTCATCTACTTCTTTATCATACCCTCAGTATTTTCATTTACTTAGAAACTCCCACTGGCTCGGTACAGTAAAGCTTGGCAAAAAAGTTTTCTAGGTGTTTCTAGATCTGCCACAGAATAAAATACCAGCCTGGGTAGCACCATACCTGTTGCTTGAAGTACCTTCTGTCTTCCTCATCAACAAGCACTAGATTCAAAAAGTACCTTACTGAAAATTTTTTGTTTACATCTCTCATTGTTGGAGTTGGGTCATATCCTGCTAAAAATAGTCTTATTGGAATTGATTCACCTGAAAGAAAAGGAATTTCCATTTAATTCTAAAAGATGATTAAATATAGTCACATAACACTTAGGACTAAGCATTATAGAGTAGACACTAATGCTTTATTAGGTACAGCATAAAGACCAGGGTTTCTCAGCCTCAGGCAGCACTGACAATTTAGCTTGGATAATTCTTTGTTGTGGGGAAGGGCCTATCCTCTGTAGGATGTTTAGCAGCATCCCTGGCCTCTACCCACTAGTTGCCAGCAGCACCCCCCAGTCATAACAGCCAAAAATGTCTCCAAACAAGTTGCCCCTAGATGAGAACTACTACTCTAGAGCCAGAATGTCTGGCTTCAAATCTCATGCACTGCTCACTGGCTGTGTGACCTTGACCAAATCACTTAACCATTATGTTTCAAGTTCCTCATCTATGACATGGGGAATAACAATAGTGCTCACAGGCAATCTGTGAGGAATACATGGGTTAATATAGAACTCAGAACAGTGTCAGCAGATAAGTGGTATATAAGTAGTTGTTATTTTCTGCTTTCATGAAGTTTACCATAATTTCTAATCATATATATAAAACTCTTGAATCCTTATTACTAATACATTCAAAGCAACAAACATGTACAGAATGATGATATTCCTTCATTACCAAAAATATTGCCATTCAGATTCTCATTGCTTTTATTTTCCCAAGGGTAATTAATTGCACATTCTCTTTTGAGTATTTTTTATGTAATACTTTTCTCATGTATATATATTTGCTGAAAAATATTTTACGTAAAATTTTTTTTTACATAAAAATCTATGGCTACTGGAATTTTACAAAGTAATGTTGCATAACACAAGAGTACACATACATGCATGGGTCATGGAGTCAGAAAGAACTGGGCTCAACCCTAAATTCTGCAATGATTAGCTGTATCACCTCTGGCCAGCTTTTTAACCTCTCTACATCTCAGTTTCATCAGCAAAATATGGAACCATCACCTAACTCAAAGAGTGGTAAGGAGCTTTAGAGCACCTGAGACTACAATGCCTCATCTACACTTGGCACTCAATACATAGTAGCTGCTTTCTGCAGAAATTACAAACAGTGAGAAAAACCCAAAGACATAAATTAAACATGATAAATACTGGCTTTGTTGCCTCAGACACCATAAATTATCTAGTAATGGAATGTTTATTTTCTCATGGGGCTATAATAACTCCAAAATCCCACAGGAAGTAATGCTCAGCCATACTGCATCTGTGGTCAGCATGAGAGAAAAGATTTACAAAGATGAACTATTATAACAAAAGACAATACAAATATTACAAATTCAGAACTCTCTCTATATATAATACACACACACACACACAACTGTCTTTTCTACATTCTAACTTTAAACTGAGTGAAAAATTAAACCTTATTTCAGACTAGGAAGTACGATTACAGTCTTCTTAGAAGCTATACAAAGATGACCTTAAAAACCATCATAACAACAGTTTTAAGAATTCATGGATAGTTTCACACTAAATAAATACAAACTAAATGCCACAAACACTGCTGTTTACACTACACAAAAGTAGTAACTGAAAAGTGTGTTACCTTTTACTGGTGCACCATCCATTATTTCATATTTGGCGATTGTTTCTGTTTCTGTTGTAGTACTAGGTCCTAGTGCCACAATATAAATGATCTTAATTTAAATATTTCCAGGATATAATTTCCAGCCTTATGATTTTTTCCTATTTTAACATTATTTTAATACTATTGTAATTTATCTTCCCATTTTGTAAAAAGTGTTGACCACTTTCTATTTCTTGATCTACACTTAACATACTCATCACTCAACTGAATGTTTCACTCCCTTCTGTCCAAAGGTAAGATACAGTTCAAGAAGAATCTTCCTCATAAAGTTCCTCCTATTATTTCTAATGTGTAGACTAGTAACTATCAATACACATCAGAATTAAGCATTACATACTAGTTTTCTGTGCAACACCCCAAACTATCTTCTCTTGGACTTAATTTTAACACACACAAAACACCAAACTGAATAACTGACTGACATGTATAAATTTGGGGATTTATTCTCTAAGAAATTATTTGAACCTAGACATTTTTAAAAAGTCAACAGTAACTGAAAAAAAATATATCAAAACTCAATGCTATAAAATATATAATATGCAAAGACTAAAGTCTGTTCTGGATGAGTATAGATTATTTATCTTTTATTAAAATGTTTCTGTAATAACATATAATTTTTATAATTAGAAAAAAGTTTAAACAATCTCTTTTAAAACAACAAATGGGAACCTGAAGTTTGGTTTTAATATCTTAAAATCACTTAAATTTACTAATAGGTAGAAATATGGAACTTAAGAAATCATAAATGTTTATAATTGTAACTACTGATTATAAATTCTTTTTTTTTTTTTTTTTTAAGGCAGAGTCTCCCTCTGTCTCCAGGGTAGAGTGCAGTGGCATCATCATAGCTCACAGCAACCTCAAACTCCTAGGCTCAAACAATTCTCCTGCCTCATCCTCCTAAGTAGCTGGGACTACAGGCGCACACCACTACGCCTGGCTGATTTTTCTATTTTTTTGTAGATATGGGGTCTCGTTCTTGCTCAGGATTGTCTTGAACTCATGGCCTCAAGCAAACCTCCTACCTCGGCCTCACAAAGTGCTAGGATTATAGGCATGAGCCACCATGCTTAGCCTACTGATTATAAATTCTTAAAAAGTGTTGCCTAAAATTATTTTGAGCAAAAAATTAACAAAGTTAAAGGGGACAAAGTAAATCTATATACTAATTAAAATTAAAAAGTAGTGATGAACCAATAAATGATATTGGGGCAATTGGTCAACGGTCTGGAAAAAGGTAAAGCTGGATCCATACCTCATACCTTACCCTCAGAGCAAATTCCAAATGAATTAAAATTTTAAACAAAAATAAAACAAAATCCCCAAACCACAATTTATTATTTTAGTAGAATCAAGCATAGAAAATTATTTTTAGAACTTCAGTGTGAAAAAGACCTTTCTAACCATGGTACAAAACCCAGAGGCCATAAAATGAAAAACTGATAAATCTGACTATATAAACACCAAGAACTCCTATATGGCATAAACCACCACAGGCAAGACAAACTGGGGAAAATTTCTGCTACTCTTACTACAGAAAAAGGGAATGATTTCTCTAAAATATAGTTACTACAAATGAGAAAGAAAAACAGTAAAAGTCCCATAGAAAATGGAGCAATGGATATATATAGTTTAGAGAAAAGAAATACAAATAGTTTTTATACACATGAAAAGATGCTCACCCTCAATCAGAATGAGAAAATTGTGAATTAAAATTACAATGGGATATGTGGATTAGCTTACCTGTGGTAATCATTTTACGACATACATATATATATATATATATATTTATCAAAACATCCCATTGTACACCTTGAATATATATAATCTTTATTTGCCAATTCTACCTCAATAAAGCTGGAGGGAGGGGAAGAATCCATAAAAAAAGATTTCGGCAGGTACGGTGGCTCACTTTGGGAGGCCAAGGTGAGTGGATCATTTAAGGTCAGGAGTTTAAGACCAGCCTGAGCAAGAGTGAGACCTTGTCTCCACCAAAAATAGGAGGCTGAGGCAGGAGGATCACTTGAACCCAGGAATTTGAGGTTGCAGTAAGCTATGATGGCACCACTGCATTCTAGCTGGAAGCAACAAAGCAAAACTCGTCTCAAAAAGAAAAAAATAACTCAACACTGCAATGTGCAATGGAGTATTTTTCTTCCTTATCCATGAAATTTGCTTCCAGTTTTTATAACACTGTGCTGGTGAGAATATGGGGGAAAAGAGGCTTTCCTACATTCATTGCTCATAGCAATGCAAATTGGCATAATCCCTAAAGAGAACAAATTGATAATATGTAAAAAAAATTATAAACAAATATATCCTTTGACCCAGTAATTCCACTAAGATTTTATCTTGCACACATGTCCATATACATCCAAAATGACATTATTAATTAAAGCATTATTTGTAATAGCAAAAGACTAGAAACAACTTGTATGTCCACTAATAGTGAACTGATTTAATTCTAGTATATCAATAAAATGGAATACTATAAAAAAGATAGGCCGGGCGCGGTGGCTCACGCCTGTAATCCTAGCTCTCTGGGAGGCCGAGGCGGGCGGATTGCTCGAGGTCAGGAGTTCGAAACCAGCCTGAGCAAGAGCGAGACCCCGTCTCTACTATAAATAGAAAGAAATTAATTGGCCAACTAATATATACAAAAAATTAGCCGGGCATGGTGGCACATGCCTGTAGTCCCAGCTACTCAGGAGGCTGAGGCAGGAGGATCACCTGAGCCCAGGAGTCTGAGGTTGCTGTGAGCTAGGCTGATGCCACGGCACTCTAGCCTGGGCAATAGAGTGAGACTCTGTCTTAAAAAAAAAAAAAAAAAAAAGCCTTCATTTTCCATTCAGTTAAGTGCTTAGGTTCTCTGGAAACTAAGTTAACCTTTAAATAGGACCAACAATTAGTCAGGCTATTATTCCCTCTGAAGTATATGTATTTTTTTTGAGACAGAGTCTCACTTTGTTGCCCTGGCTAGAGTGCCATGGCGTCAGCCTAGCTCACAGCAACCTCAGACTCCTGGGCTCAGGCGGGATCCGCCTGCCTCAGCCTCCCAAGTAGCTGGGACTACAGGCATGTGCCACCATGCCCGGCTAATTTTTTCTATATATTTTTAGTTGGCCAACTAATTTCTTTCTATTTTTATTAGAGATGGGGTCTCGCTCTTGCTCGGGCTGGTTTCAAACTCCCGACCTTAAGCAATCCTCCCGCCTTGGCCTCCCAGAGTGCTAGGATTATAGGCATTGAGCCACTGTGTCCGGTCGAAAATTAAGATTTTTGTGCTTGAAATATTTATGTGGTGTATAAAGATATTTTTCATCATTAAAAGCTCTACATGAGAGTTTACATTATTATTATTCTAAGTGAAAGAATAGTTCAGCTAATGTAAATCATCTGTAATGTAAATCAATAATAAGGTTACCTCCATAGGTTGAGTTTTAACTCAAAGACTATTCCCAAGTACTTTGAAATGATGTGGTAATAAACCTAGGAATCCCTACAATACATCTAGAGGACTTTTTAGCCTCCTCCCAGGTTTGGATCTCAAAATAATATCCTAAGAGTTGATTAATACAATTATGTTAGTCTAAAGAGAGGCATCAGTGTTAAATTTTAGGTCCCAAACTACCTGATAATTTTATCAACAATATAATTTTAAGACACTGAAGGCATACATATCACATTGTCAGTGGTATAAACATGGGAGTGACAACTAATAAAAAAATCACATAACAGAAGAATGTGTTGGAGGGGAATAATGTACTTTACATCTATTTCTTCAACAAATAAAAGTTTAATGAAAACAATAGGGGGAAAACTTATAAATTAAAAGAGATTTAAGACCCAAAGAACCAAATGCAATGTATGGACCTTGTCTGGATACTGATTTGAACAAATCATGTGAGAAAAGAAAGACATTTATGAGATAATTAGGGAAAGGTGAACACTGAATATATGAAGACAGGAATTATTAATATTTTTAGATGTGACAGTATTATATTTATAATAAAATGATACATTTTTTTATTTTTAAAAACATTTTTCTGAATAGACAGAATATAAGCTTGACATAGACATTCAAATAACAGATATATATGGTAAACACATAATTTATCTTCTAAATATAACCACTATTATAAGCTTGGTGTGTATCATGGCAGGCTCTTTTCTGTTCATATCTAAATACATTATTATTATTTTACAAAAATGGAATGCTAGCCGGGCGCGGTGGCTCACGCCTGTAATCCTAGCACTCTGGGAGGCTGAGGTGGGCAGATTGCTCGAGGTCAGGAGTTCGAAACCAGCCTGAGCAAGAGCGAGACCCCGTCTCTACTATAAATAGAAAGAAATTAATTGGCCAACTAATATATATATAAAATTAGCCGGGCATGGTGGCGCATGCCTGTAGTCCCAGCTACTCGGGAGGCTGAGGCAGTAGGATCGCTGAGCCCCGGAGATTGAGGTTGCTGTGAGCCAGGCTGACGCCAAGGCACTCACTCTAGCCTGGGCAACAAAGTGAGACTCTGTCTCAAAAAAAAAAAAAAGGCATTAAACAGGCCGGGCGTGGTGGCTCACGCCTGTAATCCTAGTACTTTGGGAGGCCGAGGCGGGCGGATTGCTCAAGGTCAGGAGTTCGAAACCAGCCTGAGTGAGACCCCGTCTCTACCAAAAATAGAAATAAATTAATTGACCAACTAAAAAAATATATATACAAAAAATTAGCCGGGCATGGTGGCACATGCCTGTAGTCCCAGCTACTCGGGAGGCTGAGGCAGTAGGATCGCTGAGCCCCGGAGATTGAGGTTGCTGTGAGCCAGGCTGACGCCAAGGCACTCACTCTAGCCTGGGCAACAAAGTGAGACTCTGTCTCAAAAAAAAAAAAAAAGGCATTAAACAATAAACAAAATATAAGCTGATTATGTAATAATACCATGTACATAAACATATATACTCTCATTCTCCCCCCTTGGAAAGATATACAAAAGGATACTGTAATGGTTTAAGTGGTAAAAGTGAAAATATGTGAAAAGAGATAGCCAGGATGATGTGGTATCGAGCCAGTAAGATAAAATTTTACAGACACAATAGTATTGGCTGCCTTCTGAGATGGTGAGATCTCTACAAAAAAGTAGCCAAGTAAAGTTACCAGGAATAGAACATGAAAAACATCTGCACTGGGTGGAAGCCAGACCAAACCGTTGAAGGTTCTCTTAGCTCAGAGACTGTTGGTGTGTTAGTATCAGATTAATGTCAATTCTATCCTTACTTTGACCAATTTACAAACACTTACAAAGTTCAGTTTTTAGTTTTTCCTGAACATTTATCTGTGAAAGGTACTTACTTTGATTTATTATATTCAAATTCTATATGCAGACAATCTTCAATGCCCACTTCCATCTTAATAGAGTTGTTAACATCAGGATAGGTGGCAAGCTGGTGAACAATAAGATCATATTCTTTTACCAAGTCTGTCAGTCTTCTTACTATTGTCACTTTAAGAAAATACCTACAAAATGAAGAGGACGAGTTAAATCACCTGTGATAAATTTTAGAGTTTTAAATGAGCAAACATTAACTGCAACTCAGCTTTTTCCTTCTTACTGGAACTCCTTGGGACTAACTTACTTCATTACTTCATAAAGGAATTCTAATTTTCTTTTAAATGCCCCCAACATGAAAAAAATATAAAGTTCGATTTTAAGAACAGTATAAATGCTTTTCAGATGAGTTTAGAGGGTTGTCATCAAGCCTACTTGAAGAAATCTCTCCAGATAATTTTTGTTTAATCCCTATCTAGTTAAGGCACTGCTACTTTGAATTTTGAATCATTTTTGATGGATAATCCAAGTTAAACAATGAAAGAAGAATCTCAGACCTGATACATTCATATTTCCAATTGCCCTGGACTCTGAGGCATCCGTGGCTTCCTGCTTGAACACTTGGTAAAGGGAAAGGACATTGGACTAAGAATTTAGAAAATTGTGGTTTCTACTCCGGTTCTGCTACACAAGTCAGATAACCTCTTTGGGGCTTCAGATCACTTCTTTTTTTTTTTTTTTTTGAGATAATCTCGCTTTGTTGCCCAGGCAACAGTGAGTGCCGTGGCATCAGCCTAGCTCACAGCAATCTCAAACTCCTGGGCTCAACAAACTCTTGGGCTCAAGCAACCCTATTACCTCAGCTTCCCAAGTAGCTGGGACTACAGGCATGTGCCACCATGCCCGGCTAATATTTTCTATATATATTAGTTGGCCAATTAATTTCTTTCTATTTATAGTACAGACCAGGTCTCGCTCTTGCTCAGGCTGGTTTTGAATTCCTGACCTCGAGGGATCCACCACCCGCCTGGGCCTCCCAGAGTGCTAGGATTACAGGCGTGAGCCACCACGCCCGGCCAGATCACTTCTTAATCATATACTAAATGAGAATTTCTGGGAATCTCATGGATTTAGAAGGTAATTCAGTATACATGACAAATGAAGCACCTAAGGGATAATTCACACAAGGGAAATGTATGATTACAACTTCTCATAAGGAGTTCTCCAATTCTATAATGTTAGAAAGCTCTCAATAAACCTCGTATCAGCATTAGCCATTCAAAATATGTGACAGACATTTTAAGAATCTTAAGTCTTCTAATCCAGAATTATAATTAGAAGTTTGAATAAGGTATCAATAGTAACCATTACTTTCTGGTTTTGACTATGTTTACAGATTCTTTCTTTCTTTTGGGACGAGGGCCTCACTCTCTCCCAGGCTGGAGTGCAGTGGTGTCACCATGGCTCACTGAAGCCCCAAACTCCTGGGCTCAAGCAGTCCTCCTGCTTCAGCCTCCTGAGTAGCTGGGACTACAGGTGCATGCCATCAGGCCCAGCTAATTTTTTCTTTTTTTTGGTCTTTTGCAGAGATGGGGTCTTGCTATATTGCCCAGGCCCATATTACAGCTTCTGATACACATTCATACCTCAAGCGGACATTGGCACCGATGTAAGATTCATATGGCTTTTCAACTTGCATAAATTCAAAATCATAACTTCTGCTCTGAGTCAGTTCTCCAGGTAGGGCTAGTTCTTTCACTAGGTTTACAAATTCATGAGTATTACTCTTGTCATTGAAAAGTTCTAAGAAATTTAAAAAAGCAAAAAGACCAATTATATTTAATATCCATTTCAATAAAACCCAAGCTTCTACTTCCAAAGCAAATAATTTTTACCAGAAGAATTATTGGATTTGTCTCTACTTTAATAAACTATAGCTATAATCTAAATATCATTATCCTTCTCATTATTAAGCTCTACTTAGGCATAAAAAATTCAAGTGGCATAGCACAATGAAAATTTGTATTAAAAACTAGTTCATACAAGGATAGATTTAATAAAAAAAAATTAGTTCATTTCTTTGATCAAAATGAAGCTATTTGACACATTACCAGCAATTATTTGAACTTCCTCCAGACAAGGCAAAAATTGTTTTGTTTTAGTTAGGCAAATATATTACCTGAATAAAACTACAAAACACAAAAGACTAAAGCCAACTATCAATTAATTACAACTTGCCCCTCAAGTACAATCCCATTCAAAATAGATATATAAACAAATATCCACCCATTTCAATTTCTAAGTTTTACTGTACTTTAAAACTGTAGCGTAAAACTTAGAAAGCTAGATTTAAACATCTATTTATGTAGACATAAATAAAGACATATTTTCTTTTCTCTTTTCTGAATCGCCAATGCCAAAAGATTTATATACAGTTTAACTGCCTGCCAAATCAAGCATGTCTCTGAAAAATATGTATGGAAATGTACACAAGTTGATCTAAGTCAAGAAGAAATTACACTTTTCCTTTTCACATGGAATTTTCTGATAGGTAAGTCTGGCTACAGGCACACAAAAGATCTGGAAAACAAATGGCATGGGTAATTAGAAAATGAAGGGTGATGGTGAGGCTGCTAATTAATTGTAAGGCTGGTAAAAAATGTAGGCAGATGGAAATTTCAGTAAGTCAACTAATTTACTTGAATTATTTTTCAAGGCTGGTAGTTTACTTAACTCCTTTCATTTTTAGTAATGAAGTCCAATAACAAAGGCAGGGTAAGTCAAATATTTAATACAAGTAAAAGAAGCATGATTTAATATATTTATAAAGTAAGTCCTCTCTTTTATTATGCACAATCAATTCCTTCCTTCCACAAAGCTAAGCTTTAATGCAGTCATTAAAGTGCCAAAGCTAACCCTCCTCAAACTTAGTTATCAAAAGAAAAAAAGTAATACTATTTTAAAACTCACCAATTTGACCTACAAATTCAATTCTAATTCCTTGGTGCTCTAGCCTCTTTCCAGGTTGCTTAAAGGCTAGGTTTACCTGCCAAAACATGAAATTATAAGAGATGTTAACAATCCTTTGAGTGGGCCTACTAGTAGATTCCTTCCAGATGAATGCAATCTATAAGTATTTCACATATTCATTTATGAAGTTTCAGAAAGCACCATATACTTAGATCAGGATGATGTTATATCACCAGAAAAGGTATAATTTATGCATATCCAATTACTAATGAACCTATATTTACATATACACTTAAAGCATCAGTTCTGTCAGGAAGGAATCCTTCTTTATAGTTGGAGGAGTATAAAAAGTCAAAGAAAGGAAAAACCTTCAACTATTCATATGTGTTTTCTGGTCAAATAAACAACTCTATGACTAGTAATAACATTTTAATGTGAAGTAATCACTAATTCCAAGAATTGACCTAAAGATAGACACAATTCCAGGACATTTAAATCAAGCAATCCTAAAATCCACACAGCCAGGACTATATTATGGACAATGCACAGAAATCTATGGGTCAAATCATAGCTTTATACCTACTGTACCTGAAGTATTAATATCACTTTTAGTTTTTTGTAACCAAGAATATATTAATTCCTGACCTTAAAAGCAATGCTTATTACCCTGAGTCTGCTATTCATCCTAAAAACAGAATGTCTAAAGATTTAATTTTTTTTTTTTTTTTTTTTTTGAGACAGAGTCTCACTCTGTTGCCCGGGCTAGAGTGCCATGGCATCAGCCTACCTCACAGCAACCTCAAACTCCTAAGATCAGGTGATCCTCGTGCCTCAGCCTCCCAAGTAGCTGGGACTACAGGCATACGCCACCATGCCTGGCTAATTTTTTTTCTATATATTTTTAGTTGGCTGATTAATTTCTTTCTATTTTTTTAGTAGAGACGGGGTCTCACTCTTGCTCAGGCTGGTTTCCAACTCCTGATCATTTTCTTTTTTTTTTTTTTTTTTTTTGACAGAGTCTCGCTTTGTTGCCCAGGCTAGATCGAGTGCTGTGGCATCAGCCTAGCTCACAGCAACCTCAAACTCCTGTGCTCAAGCAATCCTTCTGCCTCAGCCTTCTGAGTAGCTGGGACTACAGGTATGCGCCACCATGCCTGGCTAATTTTTCCTATATGTATTAGTTGGCCAATTAATTTCTTTCTATTTATAGTAGGGACGGGGGTCTCGCTCTTGCTCAGGCTGGTTTCAAACTCCTGACCTGGAGCAATCCCCTCAACCCCTCCCCCCCACCTCCCAGAGTACTAGGATTACAGGTGTGAGCCACCACGTCCGGCCTAAAGATTTAAATTTTGAGTATGATTTATCTTATGTACTTCTGAAGTAAAATATATAATCTCAAAATCTCTAAATTCATCTATCTGCCAAATGCAAACCTTCAATTTATACTTTTTAAATTTGAAACAGTATCTGTTGAATACATGTATTAGAAATAAAAGTTTAAACATTTAAGAATTAGCTAACAAAGAATCCTTCTGTATACAAAAAGCACACTTCCAAGTTTATTCTTTAGTATAAGGAGTACTAATAATGTGACTCTTAAAAAGCTTTTTTTCCATACAATGCTTCCCAAAAGAAAATAGGAATCAAGGGCCAAAAAACGCAGAAGTCTAATTACTTATCTGTAAACTACATAAATTATTCACTCTTCTATATCTCCCACATCTTATAATCCATATAGGTTACTTACTTGCCTGCAAAATTAACCCTTTGCACTGGGATGTCGAGTGTGACTCGAGATGGTTAGCAAAAATTATAGAGATTAAAATTACTCTTTGAATGTATCAATAATTTGAAATCTTAAAAAATCCAAATAAATAAGTTTGTATGAAAAGAAACTCCAGTTTTTTATTCTATTGCCGTGCTTTGTAAAATCTGGGGTATTTAAAAAATTAAATCCTGAGTAGAATAAAGGAATTGAGAAAAAAGCAAGCGAGTGCAAAGGGTTAATACCTCAGAAAAAGAAGTAAATAAACTATGGTACATTATATGATGGAATATTATTAAAAGTTTAATAAAAAGAATGTCAAAGAATTTTTAATCATGTGGGAAAATGTGCATGATATGTTACGTGAAAGAAGCATGGTCAAATTGTATACAAGTATATGCCAATTATATTTTTTGAAACTATAAAACAGAAATACTCTTTTTTTTGAGACAGAGTCTCACTTTGTTGCCATTGGCATCAGCCTAGCTTACAGCAACCTCAGACTCCTGGGCTCAAGCAATCCTCCTGCCTCAGCCTCCCGAGTAGCTGGGACTACAGGCATGCGTCACCATGCCTGGCTAATTTTTTCTATATACTTTTAGCTGTTCAAGTAATTTCTTTCTATGTTTAGTGGAGTTGGGGTCTCGCTCTTTCTCAGGCTGGTCTCGAACTCCTGAGCTCAAAAATCCACCTGCCTCGGCCTCCCAGAGTGCTAGGATTACAGGCATGAGTCACTGCGCCCAGCTGAAAAGAAATACTCTTAATAGCAGTTACTTCTGAATGCATGATTAGGAGTAATTTTGGTTTTTTTCTTTGTAGTTTTCAAGTTGTTTTCTTTTTTTTTCCACAATAGGCGAATAATACTATCAAAGTTAGAAAAGCATTTAAGAAATAAAGGTAGTACTTAGACAAGCTTCACATACATTAAATCTTTAGGTTTGAACCACTAATAATAAGTATAATCCTAGCTGCTTCATAAACCAGGCAGTAATTAGAGCTATTCTTTAATTTGTACCCATAGAGCAAATAGAAATATTACATTTTTTAAAATATTTGGCAGCAATTTTTGAGAATGTTTTTACTTCAACATGGCTGTCTGATATTTTTTAAATTTACAGTTCTTCAAAAAACATTATGAAACCACACCATAAGAGCAGAAATGCAAAGTTTTTCAGTTTTGTTACAGAACCGCCTAAAAATCTGAAATTTCCCTTTTTTCCCATTGTTAAAACACAGTTGCTTTTAAGCTTAATACAAGCTATTCTGCAATCTGAAGGATCCTAGATTTTGAAGGCATAATTGAGCATTTTGGTTTAAAAATTATTTTGCAAAGGAGTACAGAAAAGTAAATCAAACTATGATGGTAAACTGTGTCAAAGAATCTTAACACCAATTAAGTTACACTTTTGTAACTTTTTACGATGTAATTTCAAATTTTTAAAAAAGTTGCAAAAACAGCACAAGGAAATCCCACATTACCATTACCCAGATTCACCATGTTTACATTTTGCTCTGTCTGCTTTAACATCTTCTCTCTACATATACATGTGTATGCATTATATACCACCTTTTTTGTCCACACAAGAATAAGTTGGAGACATCATGTCCGATCACCCATAAACATTTTATGTAAATTTCCTAAGAAAATGGACATTCTTATAGTACAAATGGACATAATTATAGTACAACTATCAAAATTAAGAAAGTTAACATTCCATGATCTATATTCAAATTCCATCAATTGTCCCAATAATGTATTACAGTTTTTTTCCCTCCTCCCCAGAATCACATATTACATATAATTGTGATATCTCTTTAGTATCCTTTAATCAAAACATTTCTCAATCATTGCCTTTCTTGACCCTGATGGTTTGTAAGAATACAGATCAGGGTCGGACATGGTGGCTCTTGCCTGTAATTCTAGGACGAGGCAGGCGATCTTTGAGCTCAGGAGTTCCAGACCAACCTGAGTAACATAGCGAGACCCCATCTCTACCAAAAATAGAAAAATTAGCCAGGCATGGTGGTGTGTCCTATAGTCCCAACTACTTGGGAGTCTGAGGCAAGAGGATTGCGTGAGCCCAGCAGTTTGAGGTTGCAGTGAGCTATGACACCACTGTACTCTCTAGCCTGAGCAACAGAGTGAGACCCTGTCTCAAAAAATAAATAAATAAAAGAATACAGATCAGTTACTTTATAGAATGTCCCTTAATTTGGGTTTGTCTGATGTTTTATCACAGACTCAGCTTATGCATTTTTGGCAAGAACAACACAGAAGTGAAGTTGTATCCATCTCAGTGCATTCACCTTAAGAGGCACGTGATGCCAGTGTGTCCCAATACTGGTGACATTAACTTTGGTCAATTGGATAAGGTGATCTACCAGGTTTCTCCTATTTAAAGTTACTATTTTTCCCTTTGCTATTAACGAGTAACTTGTGTGCAGATACTTGAGACTATGTATACATGTTTAAGGGGCAATGAAAAATGAATGTAGGGAAACCAAATCTATATATAAAACATACTCATTGTTCTAACAAGTCTCAAAGCTCATGCCTCAGCATATAACATTCTATAGAAGTTTCAAACAATGCTATGTTCAGGATTTATTTAAGGAGTAGTATTCTACATTGTGTTTAAGACAAACATATAATATCAAATGTACTATAGACCATTTACTAAATGACTCATTTTACAGTGAGACACAAAATTATCTGTACATTATTGTTGCTGGATATTGTGGTTATCCAAGATTAGTTTCAAAGTGCTGCCAGAAGAGCATGGTCCATGTGCATGTTGATTAAAGATACAACAAAAATATTCCTTGCTTAAAGAATTAACTATAAAACTCATAATCTCAGACTAACCGTACACCTTTGTTCACTTTTGCAACAAAGAGTAGAAGCAGAGTTCACTATAGGTGGCTTGGCACTACAAATACTACCAGTTTAAGACATTTTACTTATTACAGATCCAATTTCTGAAGACAAATAAAATAAAAATGTCTTACAAGTGGAAGCAGAGAACAGTGAAAACTGACTTCTTAACTAATATCACTTTGAAATAATTACCAACTATCTTAATTATGAAATAATCTCTTTTACCTTGGAGGTTCTTTTATTCATTGTCTACTGTAACAATAGTCATTACATATTTAAAGAATGAATAATTGTCTCAGCAATACCTAAACAGGTTGACAAGGATTGTTTTCACATGAAAAAAACAATGTAGGAAGAAAAATAATTCCTTCTTAAAGCAGCTGCTGTCTGGAAACTGTATAAATTAAAGGAGAGCCATCCTTTCCTCAAAGTG